CCGAAATCATACCGCTCCAACAGAAAATGAAATCAGCTGAAGCGCTACCGAGCAGACGCAGAAACCACATTGATTGTCTTACACTTAATGGCACATCTTCTAACAAGGAAGGCAAAATGTTGCGTGAAAGGTCTAGGTATTGCATCCCGTCCAATCGATTTGGGAGAATAAATGGTCCAATGGGCATACCGTTCACCATGCCAGCCCAAACATTCACCGAAAATGTTTGTTGAAAATGACCAAACATGAGTGTTGGAAAGTTATTCACCCCATCACGCGTGAACGTAGATTCGTCTGTCACCAATATGCACATCAAAAAGTCCGGATTATTGTCATGTTGATGCAACAACCACTCACAAAACCGCACTCTTGCTGGAAAATCGTCAGGTTGAAGGGCTTGTACACGTTGGACGTGAAACGGATACAGTCCCTCTTCACGCAGCGTTTGCCACACTTTGATTTTTGATACTTGCACTTCTCTAGCCACGTCTCCAGTGCTTGTTGTTTTTTGAAACGCAATAGATTATAAAAGTTCGTAGGCCTCTACACGCGTGACTGTAGCCGTCGGTTGAAGGTTGCATACTAACCTGACACACTGACCCCGACCCAGTTCTGCCGTCGGGTTGAGACCTTGTACCAGTCGGGGTGTAGGGGATATCCCGGCGGGTCGCGGCTACAGGACGGTATTCAGATATTTTTGATGTTGCAGAGCCCTTTATCTTGGTTCCCTTAAGACATTGGTGTATATGGTACTAAGAAAAATTGCTTATGTTTTCAAGATCTACACGTCGTGTAAAGGAAAACCCCAACTTTGCGGACACCCTGTATATATATATATATATCTTGAGACGTGGTCATTGTCGTCTAGACCAGTTAGGTGAAAAATTAAAGCTTCTGCCTTTTTTTGGGTACTTCGGCAAAATTTAAGTAAGGAGGGCTCTTTATACTTTTTTTATTCTCTCTAGCTTTCAATGGTCTTTGCCATCATCTTCATGCGCTGCAATTACATTGATAACAGGAGCAACAATAGTGTAAAATGAATTTAAATTAACTTACAGTAGTATGTGAAGATGTTGCTTATTGTTGTTTACGTTAAGGATGAGGGAAACACCCAGTAACATGGTGAAAGCTGGATAAATGGTACAATGGTCAAAATTATACAAACTACACACAGCTGTATGACAAGAACAAGTTAAAAACAGATTAAAAAATATTTAAAACGAAAGTTAAGCATTAAGCATTATGTGTTTAAACGAAGTGATATTACAATGTAATTCTTTAAATTAATTTTGGAATTGTAACAAAGGTTTTTCCCGTTAACTAAATAAACTGGTTCATCTCAAACTAAGTTCGAAAGTGATTAGGATGAGGGATTTCAGGCGATCAAAAGCAAATAGGATAGGAAAATGGAAAGAGAGAAAATCCCACCACTACGCAATGGAAATAATATAAGCAAATTTGAATATGTGCAGTACTGCAAACGATTTGCTTGATTAATTCGCAATGAAAAATAAAATAGACTCTGCTCTGTTATCTGAATTAAATGAGAAGATCATAAAAAGTAGCAGATGGGGATGCAGCTATCAGGATACTGCATACTAAGAAAGGTATGGTTCATATTGACAAATTAGGGTTGTGAATTTAACCAAACATAACAATTGAGACTTACTCAGAAAGAGTGACTGAATTGGAATCTCTTATGGACCAGAAGACAGTGATTGGTTAGAGATATTTACTCGAAGTCCACAACATGGGGACCTGGTTTAAGAAAGAAAAGAGGAGAGCTCCTTGAATAAATCTTTGAAGCAAGGAACCTGGACAAAGCATAGCGATTTTTTCCGTAGCAAGAATCTGATGAGTAAAATTAAAAATTGGAGACCACTCGTCGATGAAAAGCTAATCGACTATAAGTATACTGTGATAGAAGTAACGGCTTACAAATATCATCGACCACGGATACACAAGATCTGCAGGTGGAGAATAAGTAGTGGCGCTTTTCCCAAAACTCTACAGTTAGCCCTACGATACAATAAAGTGAATGATTACGAGGACAAAGCTCAACTATTGGGGGATGAATAGCACAAAGCAGGAAAGAATGACTGATTATTAAACGTAGAATGACAAGAGGAAATAGGAAGTACTATAGAGAAGATGTGAATATAGTGAACTCTGAAGCAAAGGATGTGAGATACTTACTAAACGACCTTGAACACGACGTTTGGGACAAGCATAAAAGGTTGCTGTGAAAAAGCTAAGACTCAGTGATCTTACCTCAATACCGAACAACAAATAAAAATTCCAGAATGATTGTTTCCAAAGTGCTGGCTCACCGAATGGGAATTTGAAGAGGTTCTGCAACGCATTCGGAAACGGGTGAGGCACCAGGACTCAAAATATCAATTGAGATTCTGAAAGCCTTGGTTAAAGATATAAGCGAAATCGTGCTGGCTGCGACGAATTAAATCCTGTGAATGAAAATGTTTTCTAAAAAGTGAAAGGAGGTTGGTTTAGTAATCATACCCAAACCCCTAAAGCCTACCGGTAGGGAAGTCAAACATAGACCTCTGAGTATGCTGAGGTCACTAGAAAAGCAACTATCATCTGAAGCTAGGATGAGAAAATATGTCGAGGAAAAGAACAGGCTGCCCCCTCTTTAGACGTTCCCAACGTAGTGGGACAGCTGTCCAAATCAGCCGATATCAACAGCTGCAGTAGTAAAAAGTTATGTGTCATGGTTGCCTTTTATGTTAGGAACTCCTTTACGACAGCGCAACGCCATAACATCGTTGGATCCTTCGAGAAGTTAGTCACACCTAGCTATCTGTTGAACACGATAAAGAGTTACTTTAATGAGTTTTGGAACGGGCTCTACGAGGGTTCTTCGACTTCAGATGCTGCCGGAAATTTGCGTGACAGGTAATGCTGACGACCTGACTATGATATTCGCTACCAAAGAGAGATGTACACTAAAACGGCTCTTGACATATATAATCTTAAGTATCACCATACTAATGAAAGAAAATGTCTAGAAAAACGTTAGCTGCTATATTTTGTGACAGAGAGTGACAGGCGTAGGATTTTTTCTGTTAACCCATTTGATCCCACGAATTCTTTTTTTTTTTCGTAAACAACGGTCTTTTTTATATTTCCTACTTGATGTTGAATTATACTAAGAGACATATAAATCCGAACACCCAGTTTAAATGATTTTATTTTAATAAAAGTTGGTGAATGTATTTATCTTACTGTAAATAACAAGTGAAAAAATTTTCAGTTGGACATTCCGGTTTTTATACTGCTTTTTTTTAATTCACTAACGCTCTAAAAATGAATATTTCAGCCGCAGTAAAGAATCAACGTTGGCGGATTTTGGTTCTTGACATCCTTTACGATCGGTTACGATGCCTAGAGTACGGAGACCTGTACGATTTCGTCAACTTAGTGAGCTTGATAGGGGCCGTATAGTGGGACTTCGCGAAGCTGGACTTTCGTTTCGGGCAATTGCAGTTAGAGTGTAAAGAAGTGTAGACACTGTGGTTAGGTGTTGTCAGGCATGGCTTCGACAAGGCCGTACGCAAAGAGCAAGGGGCACTGGAAGCCGCCGTAGAACAACAGACCGTGAAGATTGCCGCCTAAGATTATTGGCCTTAAGGGACCGTTTCTCCACTACCAGGTCCATTGCAAATGAATGGTTTGCAGAAAACGGAAGACCTATTGGCATGCGAAGTGTTTACCGACGAATGAGAAGTTTTGGCTTGTTTTCATAATGGCCACACTGGGTCCTCCCTTTAACTCGAGAACACCGACGTAATCGCCTTGAGTGGTGCAGACAACGGTCACTCTGGGATCAGGAATGGAACAGTATTGTCTTTAGTGACGAGTCTCGATTTTGTTTAGGCATGCACGATGGCCATGCCAGGGTTAGAAGGCGACGTGGTGAAAGGAGGAATCCACAGTTTTTTGTTGAAAGACATGTTCACCACACTGTTGGAGTTATGGTTTGGGGTGCTATAGCTTATGGTTCCAGGTCACCTTTAATCTTTATCAGAGGTAACATGAACACGCAGCGTTATATCCACGAAGTTCTAGAACCCCATCTTTTACCCTATCTTGACACCCTGGCAGATCCAACTTTCCAACAAGATAATGCCCGACCACATGTTGCAAGAGTCAGAATAGACTTCTTTCAACATAGTGATGTGACATTGTTACCATGGCCACCAAGATCTCCAGACTTATCCCCAATTGAGCACGTGCGGGATATGATGGGTAGGAGATTGCTCAATTTGCAACGTCCTCCTCAGACTCTAGAAGCACTTCGAGAGGATTTGGTGGTTGCCTGGAATGAGATACCACAGGAGGACATTGACCACCTGATCAGAAGCATGCCTAGGCGCGTTGGAGAATGCGTAGCACTTCAGGGTACATCCACACATTATTAAAGGTCAAAGGGCTTTAAAGCAGTGCAATCATTTTGAAATTTTTGGCATTTACTTATTA